CTGGAGTTTCTTCACTTTTAGGTTAATATTTCTAAACAACACTGTCTCTGTACAGAAAAACCGCGTTTTTCCTAACGTTTTAATGTAAAATACTGGCAAACTGAATCGTCTCTGCGAAAAATTAAGAGATCGATTTAACAAAAAAACTCGTCGACTTTCTTTGGACTCACTTCTGTTGCTGGGAGAATCTAGATGAATTTTTTTTAATTGTTTGAACAAAGTAGTAAAACATTACTCATAAAAAATGTTATTAACCCTTTTTTAAATGTGAAAATTCCAGTCCCGGGTCTCGTAAAGCTTTAACAAATGAATTATAACTCATTAACCGACTCGTTAACTCAGAGAGCAACAACAACTCAATAGCGCAACTSAACACAGTGTTACCCAGGSCTATTTGAAATGGTCACACTGGAGCGCTCATGGTCGAGTGTCAGCAATCGCGGCATCCATCGTGCGATGGCTTTTTCATGTCCAAATATTCATGTAAAATGTGATGTAGCCTCTCAGATGAGCTGCCTACAGCCTCAGCCGCCTCACGCACTTTTATTCTCCGATCGTCCAGTATCGTTCCGTGGATTTTATCGACCTTTTCTGACGTAAAAACCTCGTTTGGACGACCTGAACGTTTTGCGCCATTTGTGCTGGTACGACCGCAACGAAACTCAGTAAACCACTCTTAACCATTGAAATTGATGATCAGCAGAGTTCCCATCAGAGAAATAATAATAAGTTATCCCTTGTCTCTGGTCCCCATAGTATTTATAAAGCTTTTCCTTCGTTTCTTTGATGGTTTTTTACGTAAAAAATAATGCTTGATCAGCAATCGAAAATCACTTTTTTGGAAATTGAAAAAGTCACTGACTTATCAAACGACCCTCGCATCATATTTTACTCCAAAACTCAGTGGTAAAGTTTTGTACAGACATTTACAATCAACTTTTATATTATAGGTGCGGTAAATATGTTAGCAAATGTTAGCATGTGTATTGGAACTGCATTAAGTGGTATTTTCTACAGAGTTGTGGGTTTCTATGGGGTGTACTTAATAGCGCTATGCATGTACTCTGTTTCATTAGTTTATGGATATTTTTTTATCCATGATCCAAAAGAGGAATCATCCGATAACGCAATTGCACAAAAAAGCAAAGGGTTTCTCCGGTAAGGTTTAAGTTAGAAAAAAAAGATAAATAATTTTGATTTTTTGACTATTCTCAGTTCATTGATCAAATCAGTTTTTCTTAATATATATTCATATGTGTTTTATTAAAAACATGAATATCTATTGTTTGGTTTTCAGGGATTTTTTTCAAACCGAACACATAACGGAAACACTGAAAACTGTAGTAAGGACTGGAAACAAAAGGGGACGAAAAAAACGAGTTTGTGCAATTATGTTCTTATTTATTGTCATTATTGGCCCAGTTTATGGTAAGTGCTCACCAAGTTATTTCTAGAAACCAGGATTCTTTCATATATTTTTTACGGCATCAATAAAAAAAATTTAATAATATATTTAAATAGAAATTTGTAATCCGGTAGCCAAAGTGCCTCTGTTTCGTTTTGGATGGACCACCCGGTCGATTTACACATGTTGTGTAAAGTATTTGCCTCAAATTCGAAAAACACAGTAAATTCGTCGGCAAATAAATTGAAGATTGCCGATTAGAAATAGCACTCAATTTTTTACATTTGTAGGAGAATTGAATGTAGTTTACTTTTTTGTACGCCTGCAGTTTGGTTGGGATTCTGTTGAATACAGCTTTTTCGCCACATTCCAATTTATAACGAATATACTAGGTAAGTTTAACCCACCTTACCAGTAAACTAGTATTATTTCATTAATTACGCAGCCGCACAAACCAATTTTTTTTAATCTGGTGTTGAGACACTGCTATCCTGTGGTATTTTGACTTGCTGAATCTAAATCTGCGCTCAGTTTGACTCTATCAGGCAAGAATCAAGACGATTTCAAAGTTAAATAAAAATCTATACATCTGTACACTTTGTTCAAAAGACACGAAATGGACTGATTATATTCAGTGCAGCCCTTTCGGTAATCCAGAAATTTCCAGTTTTTTTAAACTATGAAAGCTGGAAAGTTGTGGCTTTCTATGGGGTGTACTTAATAGCGCTATCCATGTACTTTGTTTCATTAGTTTATGGAAATTCTTTTATCCATGATCCAAAAGAGGAATCATCCGAAAATGCAATTGCACAAAAAAGCAAAGGATTTCTCCGGTAATCTATACATCTGTAGGTTTTGTTCAAAACAGACGAAATGGACTGGTTATAGTTAGTGCAGCTCTTTCGGTTATGAAGATATTGCAGTTTTTTTTAACCTTATTTTCGAAAACTATGAACGCTGAAAAGTTGGCAAAAATACCGTTGGCTAGTGCTCGATGAGCCTGAGATCATACAATAAAGAAAATGATTGTTATAAAAAAGTTGATAACAAAGAAT